GGTGGTGGCGATCATCTGTGAGTGGGGGGTGGTTGCGCGAAGGATGCGCAAACGCCGTACTACATCGTCGTCGGGGTTGAGCCAAACAGCAGCCTCCGGCGGCTTTCAGAGCGCGTCCGTCCGCGTCCTCGTACAGCTAGTGAATTTGCAGGTCATTGTCGCCTCCGTCGCTTCCACCACCGCCGCCTCCACCACCGCTGCCGCCTTCATCACCACCACTCCCGCCACCTCGTTGTTCGTCTTCCCTTCCTCCACCACCGCTAGTCCCATCACTCCCCCTTCCCTCGTCCTGCCCAAAGCATCGCGAGTCAAGAGAGGCTTGAAAGTAAGGAGTGGCGTCCTCGAGGACACGCGCGAGCAGCTGGACATGTCATTCTTCAGAGGTCTCTGGAAGAGTAACTCCAAGCACAAAAGTAAGTGGATGATGAGCGCGTGGAATATCGGCGGGTAAAATGACTAAGTACTCGGGCAGAGGGTAGTACACTCGTTAAGCTCCATTCCGTTTCAATAACTCAAAGAAATGTTTACAGATTTGTTAGCCATTGCCATTGCCAATACATTGCCAGCTTAATAAAATCATAATCGGAATTTTTATTGGTATTTTGAAAAACGCCGAAATTTGCCAAGATATTCTATGTATTTTTTTCGGATTATCAAATGTTTATATCAATCGGTATAATAATTCGGCATCAATATACGAATGGACTTACGTATTGTAATTGAAATGATATTAATAAAGTAATCGTTATTTGTTGGATAATGATCGTTTAGTACAATTTCCAGTACGTCAATTATATATTTACTTGCGAATTTCGTCCCTTAATTTTAAAGTCTTTTGGGAGATATAATGTACATGTGGATACAAAATTTATATTTTTCTAACTGTATTAAACGTGTATCGATAAACTTTACTTATATGAAAATAAAAATATTCTCAACTCCCAGTTCAGAAATAAATTAAACTCTATTAAAAAATCGAAATAATTGTTAGATAAAGTTCTCACCAATCTCATCTTAATTAAAAAATTTAATTTTAATTATATGTCAATCTAAACGCAATGATTAATCGAGCAAATTAATTTTTGTTTTATGCTAAATTTAATGAATTCGTACAGATTTCTCAGCATGAAAAATCAGTAAAAAAGTAACTGTGAATGAAATCTTTGTCAGATATTAATAAACTAAAGTTGACATTAATATTATAAAATATAATATATAAATGAGTAGAATTATTTATTTCTTAATTTTTCTACAATATGTTTAGTACTAAAATTTTAATATTATTGTCTGAATAAATCACTTTTAATCAATGCATTGAATTTAATATTCATATTTTTTTTATACTGACTTTTACTTATGTATATTGATTTTATTCTTATAAATTAATTAACATTATGATATATAACAATTTCTGATAAGACAACAATATTTCAGCTTTTTGATAAATTAAATTCATTACAGATATTTAATATTAAGTTCATCCTATTTCAAATACATTCATATCAATAATGTAAAAAAACTATTAATAGAACGAATTATTTGCATTTTTAAATGTCCAATTTCTAATGGAATCTTACCAATTTTATCTTTTATAGTAATTAGTCATGAAATTAATACGCCGAACGCTAATGAAATGAAACTTTTTAAATTTATTTATTTGATTTATCCGATTATCACGGACAATAAAATAGTAAAATATACCTTCCTGTCGATTTAAAAAAATATACTTCTTAAATTCTAAATGTAAGAAAAGTTAAGACATAAAAATATTTCATTGCTATAAAGCTAACGAGAATACTATAAAAATTATGCTAATTTATTGAATATGTAGTAAAATTTATTGCTGACATTTTCAAAGCAATAAAATTGTTATTTACTTGTAATTTTGAAAGATGAATATTAACGTCAAGAATGCAAATGATTTAACTTTAAATCTAAATACATCAAATTTTAATCTACATTCAACTATTTCATCGCAAAGAAAGTTTTGCTTTAATACAAACATTAAATTTAACTCGATATTGTTTTTTTAAATTAAAAGAATTTATATTGAATATTCAACTATATCAAAGCTAATCTGCAATTATATTGCAATGCAATGAGAATTTTGTTAACTCCATAGATATTTATAAATCACATAAAATTTCTAAATTCACGTAGCCAATAAGTTTAAACCGTTTCAATATTTTTAAGATTTTGCTGTAATTCCTAAAGCATAATGACAAGTATTACATCAGTTGAGGATAAATAATGTTATGTAATAATGAATACACGTACGTATATATATATATATATATATATATATACATGAAATAAAAAATACAATTAAATTCAAATTGTGTAAATAAATTTATCGCTCACTCACTACAAATCAACGTATACAAGACCCTTGTATAGTATTGACATTTCACGCATGAATTTCCATGAAAAAAGTATTGCTTAAAGGACGAAACTTCACCATAAGTATATATGTGTTCATTGAGATCGAAATCTTTCTCCCTAAAAATGGAAAATGTATTACTGCGCGTTTTACTTGAATACATGCCCACGCGCGGGCCCGTACATGTAAACACATAATTTACTTATTAAGAAAATGATATTCATACGATATTAAAAAAAAGGATTAATACTTTAAAATAGATAATTTCGTATTGTTATTTCGTTTAAAAGATATTTTGGCAATAATGGTTCAGTGGCGTGGGTAATTATAATTATAAATGTGCATTTTGCATCGAGACAGTAGAGTGATGATACGCAAAGGATAAAATCATACAGTGCATAGGCAAAATAATTATATTTAAAGCAATAATTATATTTTTCAAAATTTGATATATATTTAAATTGTATTTAATCAAGTAATTAATGTTTATAGTTTAAACCAACGACTGAGTTTGCTTATAAGCTTTTCCTCTAAAATAAATTTCAATTCAGATTTTGATACATGAGATAATCAATCTCTAATTTTAAGTTTCATTCTTTAAACAAATTTTTAGGGAATATTTTTAAAGTGAAGCAAGTCTGTCATTAGCATTGCTTATTCTTCCATTCGAGTACTCTATTCGTAGAGATTCTCAATGGAATTAATTCATCTCAAAAAATGATATCATACACGTAAGAAGAAATTCTTTGATAATATTTAGATTGTTCTACTAGTCGTATTCTAATACAACTTCTTCGAACAATAAGTGTTTCCTTTCTCTACACGGTCATTTTAAATAACGAACATCAATGTTGCATCGGACAAGTTTAAAAGGAAGAGGGGAAGAAAATTTTGTAGAATTGTGCTCAAAATCGTTTAACTTTGATTTTGGTCTCTTATTATCATTGACGTAAGAAATTTGACGAAAAATATTCTAATGTCATCGATTACTTAATAAAAATTAATTCTAATGTTTATGTTTTTATCGGTCCTTAATAAATAAACGGTTAAAAAAAAAACACGAATACATAATTATCATATAACAATCACCTAGAAGAATCTATGAAAGAAGCATATAATCCAAACGTACTGGAATTAATTATAGCATAATTATCTATTATTTTACCTAAATATCGACAATACATTTAATTGCAAAAGTATTTAATTACTATGTATAGAATAAAATTAAATTGTATTAGTTTCAATATGCGGAATGACTATTTTTCTCGTAGAATGATAAAGCAAAACAAAACAAAATAAAAATTATTAGTCAATGGTATATTTAGATTTAATAGTTTTTAATACAATTTTTAAAAATAACAAGAATTATTGGAGTATCGATTACAAAAATAAATACAAAGCATGTATTCAAAAATATATGAGCAACGTTGAAATATCGACAAAAATTCAGATTGTAATGCATAGCTAAAATGTTATTATTATTGTTGGTATTGAACACTATTCTTGTTTTTCAAAGACTTTGATTTTCTACTCATGACATATTAAATCTATATTTATTGCGCACAATTTAATAATAATTAAATTAGTAAAGTATACTTTATAATAATTGTACGAAAGTAACAATGATTAACGGATTTTTAACTATCTATAAAATTAATTTTAATTTGTTTGATATATTAAGCGTTAAAAAGATTGAAGTAAACAAATTATTTTTCCTTGTACTTTATAAATAAAAATTTCTATGAAAGCATTACATTAAATGTACGTATTATTAAACTTAAGATTATTAGATATTTGCAATAAAAGAACAGCGATGAAGAAAATGTTCTATTGTTCAGTCGAACGAGTTCAGGTTATAAAGTCGTATTATTTATCTTTATTTAGCTAGCATAGAGAAAGAAAGAAGAAGAAAAAAAGGGAAAAAAATTGGTAATGGACATTGTCCTAGTGTCGAGGACGTTTAAATCACTAGTAATATTTAAAATAAGTTTATTGCTTTGTTTTGTTTTGTTTTATATTATAAATCATACATTCTTCGACAATTTTATAACAAACAAAATTGTATTTCATTTATTCGATCAGCGGCAAGATTGTTTTTGAAATATATTTTCTCGACATTAGTATTCCAACATTATTTTATATTACGGTAAACCGTAAGGTCTAAGAAAATTTTAAAACTGAACATTTTTCTCCCCTTTAATGATGACTTAGTGGTGTATCTCAAAATGTAAACCATAACGCTTAATCTACATATAGATGTTAGAAAAATAAGGAAAATATGAAGTTCTTTAGAAAGATTATTATTTGACGGGAAAATGTTGAAATATCGTTGTTACACGTGCAAGTAGAATTATGAAATTGCCTCGTACATTAATTTTCCTCCCATATTATCCAACGAGTTCATAAATAATATATATTAGTTCGCAATAGCTGTGAATTTTGGGAAGGAATCGCGACTTCTAAATTAATTAATTACACTTCATTAGGTCGCTAAGCTCTCGGGACAAGAGGGTGAAGGGAAAAGTTGTTTACACTGTTGTTATATAAGTGGGCAGTTAGTGAAAGAGATGCCGGATCGAGTACCATTGAGCATTGCGAGAATTAAAATGGACATCGGATGAATTTAGTAAGAGGCGAGCAGGTGGCGCGTGATCGTATTAAGGAAGCGTTAAGCAAAGGTACTGTGATATTAGCATATCATAGGTCAAAGTCGCGATGCAACCGCAGGTACGCGGAAGAGTAATTTCAGAATATGGACTCATCAGCGGTTCTAGGCTGGTCAAACAGACATTTTCCTAAGGGCAAAGATATAAAGAGAGTTTCGTAGAATATTCCCGCAGACGGCACGTACGGTCACCCGAGCGGGGCGAAGACGAGCGACGACGTGACTTACAGGGGTTACTCGGGGGAGTGGGATTAGTCGGGAGTTAAGGAATAGGATGGAGGAGATCGCGAAGCGCATTAGAAGTGCTCCAAATGTCATAGGCTCGGGTGCTCGAGGCAGCCAACCTGCCGCACTCGCTCCCATCCTAG